TTGAGAATCAAATGTGAATATGTCAAAATGGGTCCCCCTGTATACTATTGTTGTATAGGTATCTCCGTTCAGACATACTTGATCAATTTCATAGCACTTTGCAAATAAGAGAGATTTGAATAACATATTGGTTCTCGGTGTTGCAATGTAAAAACATCATTCATTTCCACCATTAATTCTTGGCACATGGAACTCTAGTTGAGACAGTAGTTTTGGTGAATTGACCTAAGAATAATAAAGTTATTTTGTCTCTAATAGATAAAAAATGAAATGGCTTCACCAATTTTCCCTGTCTGGGGTAGACATTAAGACATTATGTAGTTTGTAGGTAACATATTTCGTAAACCCTCATTGGATTGAATGTATGTAGTATATATAGGAGACCAGATAAGACAGCCAGATTCAAAACGGGATATAACAAATAAGTTGAAGATAGTAATGAAACTTTCCATATTTTTTAAATCCTTACAATTTCTGAATATGAGCTCCAACATTTTTTTCATAGCAGTTATGCTCCTAAATCTTTGCAGCTGTCCGTTCTTACTAGTTGATAAATCAATTATTGAAGAATTGTGGTCAAAAGTATGTTTCTTACAAAACGTGTTATATTTACATTTACTTAAATTGAGTGGAATATTGTTTGAAGAACACCAGAGAGCTAATTTACTCAAATCAATTTGTAGTACTTGGTTGTCATTAGGTGACTCCCTGACACGAAAAACCTTCAGATCATCAGCAAATAGAAATAATGAACAAAAAGCACAGCGGATCGATCAGCGGATTAATCAAAACCAATTTTATTGAGTTTTGAAATGAGTATGGTGTGTCTAACTTGTCGAAGGCCTTTGAGAAGTCTATATATATATAGTGTCTCTCTGAAGCTGTTAGTTGAATCCCTTCCAATATCACGTGGGAGAAGAGGGCCTCGGCAAATATCACGTAATTTTTCCCGCAAGAAACAATCTAAAACTGGGACAAAACTATGTTGAGTTTTTTACTAAAATTTGGCTAATTCTACACAATAATATTTTTCGCGGTTTGTTTGAAGGTGCTTGACAATGTTTCGTAGTGCATTTCATTAGTTCGACTTCCATTGTCTAATATGATAAAAATTGATCAGAAATCCTCGATAAAATCTGTAAAAATTAAAAAAAATAAACTTTTTATTTTTTAATAAATTGATGGATTCGTTACTACGTGGTAGGAGATCATGATGAAAAGAGAAATGAAAATTTCTATGTTTTTTACCACTTTTATTCGTAAGTTTGAGAATGTTATATTATATTAGACAATGGAATTCCGAACTAATGAAATGCAAATATTTATCGCTGTTCCGCGAACGCTGGAATACTACTCTTAACTAGTCTCAAATAAAAATAATTGCAAAAATGGTGTTTTTTCAAACGAATGAAGTAGGTAATCAAACTAAAATACGCATTTTGATAAATCTCACATGGCATCAAAGGGAACCCTAACATGCCATATCAGGCACGGTCGATCAACGCAACGCAACCGTTTATTTGGTGGAAGATCTTTCAGGTTCGATGGCAAGGATGAAACACTGACAAAGACTGAAAACCTGATGTATTTGCGACAGTCCAAGTCTCTTCATATGGTAATATGACACTGACACTGACCTATGGGGTAACCTGTTGACAACATAAGTCATTCTTTCAATTTTACCAATTGACATTTTGTAACATTCTTCGAAGGATGTATATTGTATATGAAATGGAATGAGCCATTCTGAATCTCTTCTTTCAGTAAAGGTAGTCAGAGTTTGTTTGGAAAAACCTAAAACGACGTCAGTAACAAGTTCCAGTCAGATGAAACTGCTTGCAGTGCCTTCCTTCGCGAGGTAGTCAAACACTTCGTTACCTTCCAGGTCAGTGTGGTCAGGAATCCAGACCAAAGACAAGTTTTTGAGTTTTTCTATCAAGTAAAGTTATTTTGGCAGTTTTTTTACCAAGTTGGATGTTGTTTGGTGACAGCTAAGTGGTTCCAGAGCCACGTGGCTATCCATGAATATTTTTTATATTGAGATAAATTTGTGAAACTAATTTCAACAATGTTGTAGGTTGATGTTGAAGCTACATCTGTCAAATCAGTTTTTCATTTATTCAGTCTGTTTTGCCAAATCACCATGGACGGAGATAGCATTCAACAACACGTGCAAATATCAAAATTGTTCCATCAAAATGGGTATTCTCTCCGGGCAACGTACCTCGCGCTTCGCTCATTTTACGGTCGCCATAATCGTCCTACCTAGAGGACTATTCTAAATATGGTAAATAAATTTAGGTTCATGGATCAGTAAACGACCGACAAACAGCCGTACGTCGACGAAACGGAAACGCAAGATCTACCGAAAACATCGCCGCTGTCTGTGATAGTCTGCCGGAGAATCCGAGGCAGTCGATTTCTCGTCGCTCACAAGAACTTGGTATTTCGCAGACCACAACATGGCGAATTTTGCGTCATGACTTGGACCTGCACTCATACACAATTCAACCGACCCAGGAACTGAAGGTAAACGATCATAGGCAACGAAGTGTGTTAGCTGAATGGGATCTGGAGCGACTGACCCTAATTTTCATCGAAAAATCAGTTTCGAATCTGGAACGATACCAATCCACATGAAATCCAAGAGCGTCCATCGCATCCCGAAAAAGTCACTGTTTGGTGTGGATTTCAAGCTGGCAGCGTCATTGGTACATATTTCTTTGAGAACAACGTTGGCCAGGACATCACTGTCAACGGCAAGAACTATGGGTCGATGATAACAAGCTTCTTTTGGCCTGAATTGAATGATCTTAATACCAACGACATGTGGTTTCAACAGGACGGCACTACTTGTCACATAGCTCATGCCACATTGGATACTCTGCACGAGCAATTTGAGGGCATGGTCATTTCACGTGGAGGTGATGTGAACTGGCCATCGAAGTCGTGCGATTTGATCCCCGTTACTCAGGTGTATGCGAATGAGCCACAAACCACAGTGGTCCTTAAACCTTGATCAATTCAGACTGATTTATGCGCCAGAGTCATGGAAAATTGGACGTTTCGGATACGCCCCACCCAGAGAAGCCATGTTAATTCTGTTATTGTTTCATTATCGAGTTATTTTACAACAAGCATTGTAAATGTGATATCATCTAAGCTTTCCTTTATTTATGTACTTTTTTTTATTCATTCATATTTGACCGGTAAAAAACAATATGTATCTTCAAAGAGCGGCAAATCGGACATATAGGAAAATCCACATGGTGTCCCACAGGGATCTGTCTTGGGACCACTCTTATTCATCATATTAATTAATGACCTTTTCTTTTACATATACCCTCATGATATGGTGTTATATGCGGATGATGCCACCTATTTCTCATCACAAAAAAATATTGATAGTCTCCATACCAATATTAACCAAATTGAAGACAAAGCTGTAATATGGTACAATTATAATAAGCTTAAACTAAATAGAATGAAAACTCAAACCATTATCGTCTCCAGTCAAAATAATATACGAAATGAAAGTTCTGTAAATCTGTTGGGAATCCAATTAGACGACTCGTTAAATTGGTACACTCATAACGAGACTATATGTAAAAAGATATCGTCCCATATATTCTTTCTGAGGCAGATTCATAGATTCTGATTCATAGTAGAATTTCTTACGGGAGTATTTTATGGGGTAATTCCAGTTCAGCAATACATGTTTTCCGTTTACAAAAAAAAGCATTGAGAATCATTGCAAATGATCCAGCATTCGACCACTGCCAACCGTTGTTCATGAAATATAATATCACGCCATTGCCATTGGAGATACATAAAAATAACCAAAATTATGAAACACTCTCTCACAACCATGAATATAACACCAGATCTGGCGACTTATTGAAAATACCCAAATTTCGTTTGACAACATCCAAAATGAATTCTTTAAACTTGAATTTATATAATAAAATTCCGTCAAAATTAAGAAGTCTTAATTTTAATCAGTTCAAAATCAGAATGAAACAATATTTGAAATCTAAATGTTTTNTTGATCCGTGTATGTGATATTATCTCTAATTTCACCGACGTTTCGACAAAATCTCATTTGTCATTATCAAGGTGTGCTGTTACGTGTTCAGAAGTTTGTTGACCTTGCTCAACTCACTTCTTACTATACTGGTAAACTGGTATTCGTTACGTGTTCAGAGATAGAGTAGTCCATAAACTCTCTACTACTTGCTATTTACATGTTGTTGAGTTTTACCTGAGTTCTTCTTCTTCTTAGTTGACCTCATCTCCCCGTTAAGGTATCGAATATGAAAACTTCAGATCAGTTTTGTTACATTTTTGTTCTTCGAAGAGTAATAGTAGTTTCTTATACTTATTGTGACCATTTTGTATAACTGAAATATTCTGAACACAAATCATATTCTACGACATAAAAATAATGTATTGCCCAATTTTGATTCTTCATATATTTGGGTTGATTCTCCAGCTAAGGTAAAGAAAATATGATAAACATTGACTTACAACAATTTCTGTTATCATTTTCTCTATGGCGACGGTTTCAGCAAAGTAACACTTCGTCAAATCCAACAAATAATCATTCAGTTCCTGCTGCTTTTGTAGAGTTAACCTAAGATGATTTTGATGTATCGCGGCACCCATCCAACCTGTCACCACTATAGATATTCTCAGGTCATCTTTGTTGAACGGATATTGAGTAACGTCTCTATAAAGTTCGATAACTGCGTAACAGTCACCATCTGGAGTTACTATTGGGACGCAGAGTACAGACTTCACCAAGTCTCCTAAAAGAGTTAGTTCGATTCAATAATGATAATGATAATAAATTATCAGGGATGTTCATCAAACACCTGAGACATTTTGTGAGTTGCAACACCACTTAATTGAGCAGCTGATGCAAAACTAGAGCGGCAGCCTAAAGCCACCCGGTAGAGAACCCTCTAGTCTCCCTTCGACCCCAGCCATGGGCTTACACTGCTAACCTCCCCTTTTCCCGTAGATCCAAGTCTAAGTTCCTGGAACATAAGGCAGTTCGACCCATTCGGATGGATCAGAGGCAAAGCGATGGTACCCAAAGCAATGATTTGCGTTCCTTGAACAACAGCACAGATCTGTTCATCGGAACTGTCGAAAAGAACAAAGTTGCTGTTACAAATATTCTTGCAGTTCTGATTTTTTTCTACTTTTTTGTAGTAGTGAAGTGGACTCCTGAGGAAGCTTTACCGACTAGACTTGAATACTCGAGAAATGATCCATTTTCATTGGAGTTTGCAATCTAAATCTACATAACTGAATGATTTTGGCTGCAGCCTTTAAAGTCGAGGGTCAAAATATTTTTCTTCGGGCAGCTGCCCGAGTAGTCAATGAACTTGGTTTGAATTTCGGAAATGAACGAGGTAATCACAACTCTGTAACCAAGACGGAACCCATTCAGTAAAAATCCGCAAAGAGTATGTTACTCCTGTGGCTTCATAATGATGAATTTATAAATCACTT